GAAAATCAATTAACAAGCGGAGACGTAATAATATGTTATTGGTTAGGCCACATTTGGAGTATTGTGTTCAGTCCAGATATGGTTGTTTGTATTCAAATGCATTTGATTACAGCTTTGGTAGTATTTGTATTTAAATACTTTGGTAGGGAAATTAAAGTATCCATATTTAAATTCAATGTCATAGTATTATAATTTGCTGAATGATTTAGTGAATACTTAATATTGTAAGAGCATATGTCAACTTTTGTACTCATCAAATTTATAGACTGTTATTATTACATCCACAGAAAACTTTTCCGCGGGAACAAAGTTTGTACTGAAAGAGAATTAATACTTTGACTTTTCATTGGTTATAAATAATTTAGTACTGAATGTCAGAGAACTACTGACAAATCCTGAAAGAAAGGATGTGACAAGTTGGCGTGGCAAGAGGGGTCTATTTTTCTATTTGGTGGCTATGTAACCAAATAAAATTGAAAGCTATGAAATTATGCTTTGCCTGAGCAATGACAACATTATAATGAGTAACTTATGTCTAACTTCATATTTCTTGGAGAGGTAGTAAATAAATTAGAGAAGAGGAAATGCCTAGAGAAAAAAAAGTCACATTTCTCACACTATAGAAAATTAAGAATTTTTAAAAAATATTGCCTTATAAAAGTAAGAACTTAAAACTTATATACTATTGAAATATGGATTATTAGCTACGATTTTATGCTATACTAATTGGTATAACATGAACAAAAAGTAGTTTAATTAAATTTTGAATGTAACTTACTAAAAACATCGTGACCAGTGCAGTAAAGGATTCCATGAGGAGATGGTTAAATCAGGTCAGTACTCTCCAACCACCTTAAAAATTATTGTACCTCGTTGTTATTAATCCAGTCAAGTCAGTTGAGAGAATTTCTGATGGCTACTAAACTGCCTTCAGTGGTACATGAACATTTCATACGTCCTACTGCTAGATCTGGTCACATCAAGGGAAAGTGTAAATATTGTGAGTGGACTATTTCTACTTCAGGAAAAACCACTTATAACCTGCTGAACCATCTGAAGGTAAGCCTTTTTATTATTTTTGTTAATATGAACTATATTTCATGTAAATTGTACAATATAATATAGGTAAACGAAATTTTTCGTGCATGTTAAACTATATTTTTTATTATTTTCATTTATTTAGCATTATATGTTTTTATAAACTATATTATATATATCATACAACTTTATGATATATTTTTATTATTATAAACTATGTTCTAAATTAAACTAAATTTCTCATGTTTTGAAATATATGGACCAGGCTTTCTTAAGTTTTCAATTTGATGTCACCAGTGTTCTGGGTCAAATTTCTCTGAGTATGTACCTCACACAAACATACGATAATTTCTAAATGATAGAGGATGGACAGAGCTCTCCAAACATATATAATATGTTGAGTTTGTGTTAAGTTTTTCCAGCAAACCAAGGAAATAAAAATTGTGGGGTGTTAAAAGTAGCATGTCACCAGCAGAAAAATTCAATTTCAAAGCAATAACACAAACTCAGAAATTGAAAGTATGACTAAAGCCTTTATTGTGATTAATTACTAATCATTTGTTTTGAAAATTTATTAGCTGATTGTCCCATTACTTTTTCACATATGAAAATATCCAAAATAACATGTCGCTGTAATCATGTGTTCTCCTTTACAGTTGTATATTTTCAAAACAATAATTCATATTTTTGAGTAAATAAAAAGCTTAGAGTCTAAAATTAATCAGGGAAGTATGTGATTTGATTTGATCATACCCCAAACACAGGGTATCAAGAGATATTTTGGGTATGTCCATTTGAAGCTTGTAATAAAATTAGTTTTTTTAAGCACGTGATCTCCTTTACGCATATGACTAGTGTAGACACTCAAATCATGTCATTTTGTTATATCATTATACACAACAGTTAAGAAATTTGTTGTTATCAATAACTGAAAGAGTAAGAGTAAAGTTCATTCTTCAATAAAAATCACTGAACATGAAATTGCATGAACTCCTTAATGTGTTCTCCTTTACTTCAGTTTTGCTTCAAAGGGAAACATATAGAGTGCATAATTCCTTTCCCGCCATACTTAGTTTCCACCATGTGCAGATGATTAGGGTAGCATGTATTTGAAATGTATTAGTCACAAATCAACTCATTTTCCTGCAAAAAAGTCCTTTAAAGTGTATCTCTAACTGTATAACTAACATTAACATGGTGAGTGTGGTGGTAGTTTTAGGTATAAATGACTGATAAATTACAAAGCTAAATTTGAGAATGATAATTAGGGGTCTATTTATAAAAACAGATAATTTGGGACATGGTGAGATGCATGTAAATTTTAATTCAACTCCTTGTGCTTTGCACTTATTAGTATAATGCCACATTATAATAAAAGCTTACATGATCTGTGAAAGTAGTCTAATACAAAACAACTATTCTTATTAGCCTGCTATAGCTGGATTTACTGTAGAAATGTAAAGAAGATCATCTGTCTTTGCTAATATACAGAGGTGGTATGCATTTCAGTGATGGGTTTCATATTTGTATTCTTAGAATGAATGGTAAACAAAGTCAGCAGCTGAAATATTAACCCAGAAAATAGGGAGCAGAAGGGCAAACCTTCTTACATTTGTTTGCTTATTGCATTTTTATTCTAGATAAAATATCATCTGGTAAAGTAGAACACATGTGAAAGACAGTAGTCATCTTCATCAAGGTGGAAAAATATGGCAAATTTAGCCCTGAGTGCTAGATTTTTGACACAAGGTTTTTCAGTAGTTATATCTTCAAGAACTTCAACATTTTCCAGTTGAAAAATGGACACTTAAGAAAACCTGGCCCATATTCACCATTTTTATTTATTATGTTTTTATTATAAACTATATTCTATATTATATAACTGAGTTATGCATGTGTATTTCTAGCATAATCATGATGCAGAGTTACAGAAGTCTACATTTGGCTCTGGTACTTCTGCCCAGATGTTGCAGCCTACAATACTAAATACAAGTCTACACATCCTTGTCAAAAGTACATCACTAACAAATTTACCAATTTTATTGACAGTACACTGCAACCCTTCTCATTGGTGGAGTCAAAAGGTTTCAAATCTAATGGCATCCATGGATTCTTGATATATTCTTCCCAGTTGCAAGCATCTGTTCACAATGTTGATTGAGAGCAGGTTTGATGAAGTCCAACAAAAAGTCATCTATCTATTGCAACTTGTACCCAATAAAATTGTCACTGTGGATATCTGGAATAGCAGACAAATGCACAGCATCTTGGAATCACTGGTCATTTTATACTTGACTGGAAAATGCAAACAGTCCTGCTGGCATGTCGGCATTTCAAGGGATATCACACATCTGATAATCCAGCTCAATATGAAGAAATAATAAATCTTATTTAACATCAACAACAAAGTGTCATATGTAACATCTGATAACGCATTCAACATGATCAAGGCTTTCTGCTTGCCTGGATTTAAACTGCAAACACTACCTAGTGGGAGAGATAGTGATAGATCATCTACAGATAGTAAACTTTTGGATGAATCTAAATCAGCAGATAATTTATTCAAATTTCTTCCTGAACATGACCCTGCTTTTTGCCACATGCTACAGCTTGTTGTCAGGGATGGCATGAAGAATGTTGGATTACTGCTGAAAGTAATTTCCAAAGCATCAGCCATTGTATCCTACATTCCAAAATCAATGAAAGTAACTGATCTACTTGAGGGAAAAGACAGACTTCAGTCATTAACACCAACAAATGGAACTCAGAAATTAAGATGATTAAGTTTTTATTGAAGATTCCCCAGGAGAAGTTGGATGATCTAGCTATTGGTACATTGAAACTTACTTTTCATTATTGAAGTGTGCTTGCAGATTTAGTGGCGATACAGACACCTATTGAAGAGGCAACAGGTTTCACCCAGGGTCAGAACATTGTTATCTCTGGTTATCTAGTGCCTTGTTTATGGGCTGATGACTGAGATTGTTTAAAGTGTGTGTGGGCAGCCAGTGGCTTTGTCACTGGGTTCGACTATACATTTCTTACAAAGTAATTTATTTAAATTTTGAGTTCTGCTGTTATGAGCACATGCCACCAACTCAAGGACATTTTCGTGTGTAATAAAGAACTCACACAGAGACAACTAATTACACATCAAATAACTTCTTCATTTATACACTGTTGAACAGTTCATTTATATCAAAATTCTCAAGGTTGTTTTGTGATAACACTATTTCTAAATATTGAGTTCTTCATTTTGAAAGTCTAGGTGTTCATTAATAAGCCCTTCTATTACATTCAATAACATAGATACAACATTAGTTATCAGTTAAGTTAACATGAGAAATTCTCTTGGTCATAATCTGTATAACTTTATTAACAATTCTTCTAAGATATCTTTAAGTAATTCTACTTTAAGCATTTTCAAATCTGCTATTTCTTTAGTACAGTTAATCTTCTTCACTTTTCTCTCTTTATACATTATAGAATCTTAAGTGAATCACTGTTAGACTAGATCAGAAATAGCATACTTACAAGGATTTTGTGAGGCAAACTTATAGTAGATTCTGGATTATTGCCATCTTCCATCTTTTGGAGTCAAAACAATATATAAGGGGAGAAGAAAGTATATGACAAACTTAGTCAACAACCGTGAAATCAACTGAAAAAATGAAATTATTGAGAGAGTGAACAATTACAAATACCTCAGACAAACAACCTACATAAAAAATACAACAAAAGAGGAAATAGGAAATAAGTATGAGAATAAGAGCTGGCTGTAGCTGCTTTGGTAAGTTTCAACAGATCTTTCAAAATGAAAAACCACCAATAACCCTTAAAAGAAGAGTATTCGACCAATATGTTTTACCGACCTTGACATATGGATGTCAAACTTGGACACTCACTAAACAGCTTAACTCAAGATTGCAGACAACACAAAAAGCAATAGAAAGAAAGATGCTAAAGATCAAGCTCCAGGATAAAATTCTGTGCTCAGAGATCAGAAGAAATACCGGGTAAGAGACATCTTCAAGTATATTGCAGAATCGAAATGGAAATGGGCCAAACACATCGCCTAATTAAAAGGCAACAGATGGATGAAAAGAATCACAGAATTACAGCTCCATAAAGGGAAAAGATCAAGAGGTAGACTACACAGAAGGTGGCATGATGACATCATAGAGAAAGAGGACGTCACATGGCCGAGGAAAGCAGAAGATAGACAGACTTGGACATCTTTGGCAGAAGGCTACACCTTGCAGTGGGCAGACACAGCCTAGAATGAATGAATGAAATGCCAGCCATGGATTCTTGGTTAGTATATTCTTCCCAGTTGCAAGCATCTGTCCACAATGCTGATCAAGAGCAGGTTTGATGAAGTCCAACAAAAAGTCATCTTTCTACTGGAACTTTTACCCAACATCAATGTCACTGTGGATATCTGGAGTAGCAGACATATGCACAGTTTTCTTAGAGTCACTGGTCATTTTATACTTGACTGGAAAATGCAAACAGCCATTCTAGCACGTTGTCGTTTCAAGGGACATCACATATCTGATAACATTGCAGCTGAATATTACAACATAATAAATCTCTTTTTTTTTATCAACAACAAGGTGTCATTGACACCTGAAAATGCATTCAACATGATCAAGGTTTTCTGCTTGCCTAAATTTGAACTGCAAACACTACTTAGTGTGACTGATGGTGATAACTCATCTAGAGATAGTGACTCAGAAGATGAACTTTTGGATGAATCTAAATCAGCAGACAATTTATTCAAATTTCTTCCTGAACATGACTCGCATGCTACAGCTTTTTGTGAAAGATGGCATGAAAAAAAGCTAGACCACTTCTGAAAGTAATTTCCAAAGCATCAGCCATCATGTCCTACATTCAAAAGTCAATGCAAACAACTGATCTACTTGAGGGAGAGGCCAGAGTTCAGTAGGTAACACAAACATGATGGAACTAAGAATTTAAGATGATTAAGACTTTATTGAAGATTTACCAGAAGAAGTTGGACAATTTAGATACTGGTACATCGAAACTTGCTTTTCCAGATCAAACCATGCTTGCAGATTTGGTGACAATACTGACACTTTTTGAAGAGGCAATAGACTTCACCCAGGGTCAGAATATTGTTACCTACAGTGATGTAATGCCATGTGTTTATGGGCTGAGGACTGAGACTGACAGCATGCAGTCCAGATATAATTTGAATCTTGTCTCTGTACAGGAAAAATCTTTTCACACCTGGCTGACTCAGTATAAGCAATGAAGTGTTTTCTGCTTGGCTGTAGCATTGGATCCCAGATTTAAAACTTGACTGGTGTTTCACTATGGTGTTTCTATGAATCCAATTGAATGCTCCTGAAGCAAGAAGTCAAGAAAGTTTCCTCAACAAATAATCCATCACCTATGGAATCAACAGAGGACTGTAATCCCCCCCTCCCTCACAAAAGAAGTAAACTCTTTAGTTTCTTTTCTGCCTGCAAGAAACCAGCCACCTCATCTTCAGAGGATACATCGATCAACACCTACCTCGATGGTCCTTGAATTCCTGAAGAAAGCAACCATGGAAGATCCATGAAAATACTTTCCTACCCTATCTCAACTAGCCAAGCTCTATCTGAGTGTTCCAGCATCCTCTGCCCTCATTGAGCATTTGTTTAGCATTGAAGGCATAACCCTCAGACCTGATCACTGCCACCTCAATGACAAAGCATTTGAGAGACTGATGTTTATAAAGAACAATGGATAGTTATAATATCTATAAGTCTCCTTTAAAAATATATTTCTTATTCTAAAACTTTGTTATTGTATTTTGAAAAATATAAAAGTATTGAAATGTTATTGTCTGCTGTTTTATCATTATTGCATATTACCTGACAAAGTGTTAAAGCATGTATTCATGAATACATTACTATGTAATCAATTAGCATTTTTTCTCTATTCATTTTCATATTTTTTATTTTCACCCCATTCCTGGTTCATTCTTTGGCTCCTTACCTCAGAAAAAACATTGAATTGTTGGAAAAGGTGATACCTTGGATGAAAAGGCTCATATCTCAGAAATTGTTTTCTCTTGAAAAAAAAAAAAGAGTTAGAGTGTATCTGACTGACATGTTTAAGGTTGTTAAGGGAATTGGTGGTGTTGATGATTTATCTTTTTTTTCACATTTAATGGTGAGAATGGTAAGACTAGGGGGCACAAGTATAAATTTTGCCAGAGAAGAAGTCATCTTCAGCTAAAACACCTTTATTTTTCTAAAAGGGTTGTTGGCCTCTGGAATGGGTTTGATTTCAGATGTGGTGGATGGTGTTAATTTAAGGGAGTTTAAGGAAAGCTTGATAAATCTTTGAATGACAAGGGCTGGCTTTAAGGTTTTTTTTATATTTTTTCAGTCTTAAGGGTTTAATTTAGCAGATAAGACAGTCTACATGGACAAAAAGGTCCCTTGCTGTCCTTTAATGTTATTTTTTATAAGATTAATTTTATTTTATTATAAGAGTAACTTTATTACAAAACCAACAAAATTTTTTATAAACCTAAAACAAAGAGGGGATAGATGGCAGTAATAACAACAATTGATAAATGTACTTAAGTAAAACCTAGCTTTACAATAACATATATATATATGTGCATGTGTGTGTGTGTATGTATATATATATTTTTTTAATATCATGAAAACAAGTTATGAAATAATATTTGCCATATAATGAAAATTAAACCAAAACTTCACTAATACTATCAACGTTATACAACAGTTAAGAAAAAATATATTGATAAAACACACACAAATGAATAGGTCACAGGAACCCATAATCATAACCTTGCCTTGGTTCCTTTTACCACAGATGTTAAGTTTAAATAAAACATAACCATGGGTAAGAAGTATTCCTACTTTGCAAAATGAAGATGTAGGTTAACCAAAAAATAAATATTTAACTAACTGCATACTGATCATGAACAAATGTAGCTAGTTTAATAAGGGCTGCAAGAAAAGGTTTAAACATGCTCTAACAGAAAGAAAGCCTGAGGTCAACTTTTCAGCCAAATGACCTCATCAAAGACACAAGATCACCCAAATGTTTGAGACATAGATTCCAAACTTTCTGGATTCTTTA